GTGTTTGATGCAGTTATTGAGGTCATAGAAATGTTACACCCTAGGTGTGTTTGATGCAGTTACTGAGGTCAAAGAAATATTACTCACCTGTTTATGCAGTTACTGAGGTCATAGAATGTTACACCCTAGGTGTGTTTGATGCAGTTATTGAGGTCATAGAAATATTACACCCTAGGTGTGTTTGATGCAGTTACTGAGGTCAAAGAAATGTTACACACCTGTTTATGCAGTTACTGAGGTCATAGATATGTGACTAGACTTTGGTAGTATCTAAAGATGCTGAATTTGTTCTGCAGTTGATTTTATAAGAAAACCATGAAGAAAAGGAAGAGGGGTCTGTTTCATATTGTCTGTCTTAAAAAAACGTCAACATGAATTAGCTACAGAGTTTACTGGTATTCTGATATATTTACTAAAAAGCTTAACAAAATTAACTAAGAACCTGTACAATAGAAATTTTCATTTCAGCTGAAAACTGCAATGTTGTCAAGAAAATAGTGTGTAGTTTCATTTTGTTGAGTCAGACATAATAAAAGTGTTTAATATCAAATAATAAAATTTTAACAAAATAATTCTAATCATTTTGTAAAATATCCATTGTCTTCTACTATAACAGTTACATAATGTTTTTGTTATTTAAAAAAAAAATCTATTCATGTTACAAATGGAATGCATTATAAAACTGTCTGCACCATGATAATTTATACAAAAAATCTAAAAAAAAAACATTTTCAGCTCAACTATTTTATACAAAACAATGATAAAATAAAATTTCCCTGCATAGCATTAATTATAAATGGTATCCATTTTTGTGATTTTTATTCAGATATTAAACTGCAATAATTATAAATAAATAAGCTGTATTGAAAGGTTTATATTTTGTATTCCAGGCATACTGTATAAAATGTATTCATCATAGTATATGACAGGGGGTTTATTTAATGTTAAAACAAAATGATTACAAAAGAGTTTCTTGTTCGTTATACATTAATAATTTGTTGAGTAGGCTCAGATACTGTGGAACAATATGATGCAATTGAATAGTACAAACAAGTGTTAACTCAAATGATATGTAATATCAAATTCTATTTATTAAAAAATCTAAGCACGTAAATGATCCAGTATTTGCAGACAATAATGTTCTATTATCTGAAATTTGCAGTTCTTATGTTATGCACTAACGTGCCAATTATGTTTGATAAAAGAGTGAGCTTAGATGACTTTGGTTGTACTGGTTTTCTGTACTGGTTTCAAACTATGTACTTTTATATGTATTTTATTTTTTCAAACTACTGGCTTTAAAAAGTTATAATAAAAGGTCTAATAGTTCAATTTACTAGAGGAAGTTGTCTATTATCCAATGTGGACTCTTTTTTTATACCCATCTATATCATATATCTTTTCAAAAGAACCAGGTTTTTTTCATTCCTTTTCGTATAAATAAACATCCACAGCTTCAAAATCATGTTTCAAAGTAAGGCACACAACAAATTAATCTTATAAAAGTTTATTCTAATCATTTGTATACATGTACGTAAAAAGTAACATTGAAGTTGGAAAATCAATCGAGTTTATAAAAGAGAAAATAACAATTCAATTTTGAATAGTATATCAAGTCATTTAGGACCATAAAAATGAAGACAATTGTTGCATGACAAACTTGATAATAGATGAAGCCAAGGAATTGTCTCTCAAAGCCACATCTTTTCAAACTGGACACTGAATTTGATATCATACTTTTATATAACACAAAGCTTTCTACAAAAACCACCGGCATGTTTAGTTAAATCAATAGAAAAACAAAGGATACAGGGTATCCATCCATGACACAAAATCAGTACACAGCAAAAAACACACAAAAAAGTTAGATTAGTCCACAAGTTTCCAAGAAAACTAATAGACTCAATTGACAATGAGGCCCTACCAAGTTTAATTACACAAGAGGCTCATGTAAGGATATCCTCAGTTTAAACTGGCTTGACCTTAATAACTAATCAATCAATCAACCAATTAATTAATTACACAAGAAAAAAGTCCATCTAGGTTACAACTGTAATCTTTACAAAAAAGATGAGAATTTTTCCAGAGAAATATTTTTTTTGCAATTTCAACTCTATCCAGGAGCTCAATTTAGTTAAAGCTAAATAATTGAATGATGTCAGCTTTCCACTGCTGGCAGTACATTTGATAAAATCTTTAGGGAGGATTTTATTTACCCCTCCCTGCTGAGATTGTTATAACCTTTATTCATTTTATGCTGATAAACAGATCAGAGATTATGGTATAATATGTTTGTAATGTCTTATAAACACTACTAAAATCTTATCATCTTGTTGAAAAACTATGTGCTACAGTTTCAGAGGAGAAATATCTAATGATAAGATCTAATTGTAACTTGGTATCAAACTATATACTGATAACCAGGGTATTAATCCATTAGATAGATTACCACCCTAAAACAAGTCCCCTATTAATGAGGGTCTATTGGAATACAGCTTAAACAGTATTTGAAAACATGCAAAGACATCTACATCAGCTACTATTCACATGAAATTTAATTAATTTTCATTGTAAGAATTTTTATACTTCAATTGACGTGAGCAACTTATGTGGTATTCTGATATCTATTACTATTGAACTTTTTCTGGTCTTGATGTACTTTTGAGTATATTACACCAAAGGTGCAGCAAGCGTAAGTTATATATGCACTTATAAATAATATGTGCAAACGTGCATAGTTTATCTAGTATTATCTTTACTAAAACACATTATCAATATGAAAATTGAGAGATGTGGTATGATTGCCAATGAGGCAGCTATCCACTAAAGGGTGTTGAATCATGTACCGGTAATCAGCAATAGGTCATTGTACAGTCTTCAACAATGGAAAAAAAACATACCGTATAAGTGAGCTAGATCAGACCTTAACATGACAAAATGTGAAACAATTCAAATGAGAAAACCAACACTCTAGCTGATTTATGCTAAACCAATAAACAAAAAACAGAAATGACAGCTAGACCACTGAATATTAAGTCTGGAATTTTATTGAGTATTGACACAGGTTTCCTTTCTTCAAGATATTTACACAGTTGTTTGTAATGATATTCATCCCCAATTCATTTTCATCATCACATAAAAGTTATCATGTCTAGGTATGTTTTACAATAATTTACTCTTACTGAAATTACTACTGCTTAATTTCAATTTTCAAATATTAATAAAAGTTGACTCAATCTATAGGTGAATTTTACCTGAATTCAATTGACAATTTTAAACAGCCTTCATTTTTTTTTAAAAGTGGACTTATTATTTACAATTAACAATTGACTGGTTACAAGGACTATCTATAGATGGAAACATTTCTTATCTAATAAAAAAAACCTTCCCATTTCATCCCCTCAGAACTAGCCTTTCTATTAAACTGTTAGTTCCCAATCATAATAACTAGATCTAAGATTATATCATATAAATATGTCAGATATAAAAGTTTTTAGTAGAATTCCTGGCTGAAATATACACTGTGGCAGTCAGCTGCTGAAACTGATCACATATCAGATAAATTATAAATTTATCTAATAAGATACTATTGTTTAATACACAGAGATAACATATTTCATCATTTGTAGAGAATGAAAATCATACTGGAATAGTACTGCAATATTTTTGATAAAATAAAGAGATGTTTTACATTCCAATATGGACTTACTTCCAAACACACAAAGCAAATTAATGCAATGTCTTCCTGGTTAAATAGGAAATTTTGAATCTGAATGTTTTTATTCTATAGATATTGAACAATGTTACATAAGGGAATTGTAAATAAAATAAAATGTCTGTGTAAATATTAATCAGTTGTCAATATTCCAACCTAAAACAACAATGAGTTTCTTGTTTAAGTGAAGAAAATGCTCAATTAAGCTCATCAAATTTTATGATTTGTTTTTAAATGAAAATTGCAACTTTTTAAATAATTCAGCTTTAACATTAACTTCTTTGATGATTTTATTAAAGGGAGACAACCGTAACTACAATGAATACCATTCTTTTTAAATAGAACTATAGGACAATATGACAAATTACATCTAAGTGTAAAATTTCATACTTGGAAATTTGAAACAAGGTAAAATGGGATTATTTGTGGACTGATTATCTCACAAAACCAAACTTTTTGATTGATCTACGGCCGGAAAATTTCTTAGTTATACAACCAGTACTTAACTTTGACTTAATTATAATCTTTTAGAAGATGAAATTTTATAAATGATCAATTTTATACTTTTATATTGAAATTAATGTGAGGTCACACGGTTTAATTTCATTAGATGAATAAGTTTTAGTAAGAAATGAATGGTTCTTGTATAGAATTCACCTGCACTATCTTTAGTAAGTGCTACCCTCTTTGCCAAATAATATCAAATTTGATTTGAAAGATTTTTCTGCACCCAGTGAGCCCTCTGTTGGTGATTAATGATATTGACAGAATGACAGAAAAATTAAGATGGGTGGCCATTATAACTTGGAGATCAGAGTGGGGGCTGACACAGGGGATCAGAATCACATGCATATTTTTCTATGCACAGAAGTATCAAAATAGTCTAGCTAATAATAATTTCAGAATCATATCAATCTTTTTTTCTTAGTTTGATTGGCTTGTTTCATGCAAATCTTTCATCTACCCATAGTCTCTCAGGACTGGACCCCTTCAGACAAAGATGACCACAGATTAATTATGAGTTACATGGCACTTTAATACTTAGTAATCAAGCATATAATTGTGAATTTGTAATTATACAAGGTTAGATTTTAGTTTCCCACCAACTGTATCCCTGTTAATAAAGCAGATCGTGTGATAATTCTTTCAGGTGAAATACAGGAAATATGAAAATTATTTTGGACATTCCTTTACATCAATTCTAAAAAAAATGTTTTTTTACCTTCATAACTCATCTAAAAAGCATGATATACTAGAAAAAAATTAAATATAAGACAAAACTTACCTCTTTTCTGCATAAACTGGAAAAGATCATCCAGAAATTCTCTTCTCTTTGGTTCATCACTCAGTTCATAAAGCTACAGAAGAAGAAAAGGCCCTTGATTACAGTGTAAAAAGAGATATAAGCAGTCCTGGCACAGGTACATGCATAATTTAGTCAGTTCAAGAAAAACTTTTCCCAAAAAGGTCAGAAAGATAAATGTAATTAAAATTACTTTAACAAGTTTTAATGGTGGATACTTCTAATTTTTATCAATACTTATAAGTGCCCATTTTTATGTTATTTTTTTCAATTACAATGACTCTAAATATATGTACTTCTGGTGTTCTAAGTGAAAACAACATTTTATAAAAATAATAAATATGTGTACTCCTTATTTGAAATTAAATATGTTCAATCCATAACTGCAATTAATGATTGTAGACTCTTATATTTTACATTTGATTTTTGTACTTAAACCTGTAATCATGCAGGTTTTGAAATGAGCTTTATCAATATTGGAATCCCTGTATATTTTAAGGTATTTTTTTTTATATATCATGCATGGTTTAGTGGACAAAACTCTTTAAAAAAAAAAACCACACTAAATTCTTCAAAATACTTCCTCATCCATGTCACTTACATTTAATATGTAATAATTTTCAAATTTTTCAAATATTTTTTTATTGCTATTATGTAAAAAAAAAGTCTTAATGAATATTGCATTTAACAGCGAAGTTTAAAATTACTAGTATAATAACTAAATTGAACTGAAAGGCTACATTTGTCAGAAATGTGTATTTGTATCATTGGCCATACTTTTACTGTAATTACAATGGAAGTCATGGAAACAAATATCTAAACTTTACAATTCGGTTTTATTAACCTTATTAATATATTCAGCCAGATACATATATCTGATTAAAACATTATACATATTATATAAGGACAATTACTGTAATAAGTGGCTTTCATTCCATACTGCTAGATCGCCTGAACATGCATGAAATATTTGCCACTGAACTTTTAGCAAACAGAAATCAATCAATCAAATGTAATTTTAAAACGGTCAAAGGTTACATGCACTTTTAGTTCAATTATGAATAATTTGTTAACTTAAGATTGAGGGAATATGTTTAACATGATTAGCGAATATTGAGATGAGTTGTTTTATCTGTATTCCTTTTAGCACGTGCTGTAAATAAGCTTCAGACTACCCTTTCTTGAATTTGATTATTTTCGCGTTCGCACAGTTTTCTAAAGACCGGACCGAGTTCCGTTCACAAGAATACAAAAGACGCCTTTTCTTGTTAAAAGTATCCTTTATCAGCTTATGTAATACCATTTAATATATAAGTAGCAACTGTCAATAAAAATTTACTTTAAGCAAATAAATTTGAATAAATATTACAAGCATTTTGAATACTTCGGAAATATTTAATTTCTGTTGATTAAAATCAATTTTGATATTAGAGCCACGGGAAATATTAATTGTGGAATCGTTACAGATATAATAAAATAATTCGACTTTTTAAAACTGTCGATTAAATATTATAACTAAATAATTCCCCAAATCATTAAATGATTCTTCTAATATGGAGTTTATATTAAATTAAAATGACATTTTTACAAAAAGTCAATAACTTTACAATAGGTCAAAGAAAAGGAACATTTTATTATCCGTAATACATTATTTTATAACCAAGTGGGAAATTCGACATATGGTTGCAATATTAGTTTCTTTTTAGAATCTTTTGTCCTTAAATTTGGAGCAATTACATGCTACAAAATATTATCAAATGCATAATTGATAAAACCGAATCCTTCAGATAAAATCCGTCTTGCGTAGATCGATTTTTCATTTGGATTTTTTTTTATTATGAAATCGAACAACAGTAGAAAAGTAATTACCAATCCCTACAAACCTTTTTTTTTTGCCAAAGAAGCATATTTCAACGATTTTATGAATAATTAAAGAATTAATTTGCCGTTTTGAAAGCATTTGGAGAAATAAACATTACCCTTGACAATAAATATATTTTATAGTACATGCACGACCTTTTGTCTTGTCTGACACCTTTTGTTTCTGAAAATACAGAAGCTTATTTATACTGCCCTCTGAGGCACAGCTCTGAAGTACAACAGCACATTTCTTTAAAAGCAACTTATAAAAAATGGATAACTATAAAATTAAAAATTAAATGAAAAATCGAAATCGCTGTGCATAACGCAAAAAAAAAAGTCACGATGAAATAGTGTGAAAAGAATTCTTGATTTAGAATCATCGAACTGTGGACGGAAATTAATATAACTTTTTTATTATCTACACAACGAATTTCATTAGAAAAAAAATGTGGACAGAATGAATACATAAATAAATAAGAAATAAAACAATACATAAAAAATAAAATACGGTTTTGTGAATTTTCGTTTACAATATTAAAGATTTTAAAATGTTTCTTTCGTGTTTTTGCTTTAGAGAAAGTAAGCAAGGCGAAAAGAGGAAACAATGGAGTGTCAACTGAATTCATTAGGATCATCTGTCTTTCATGTATAATTAATACTAAAACCGCGAATCTTAAATTCAGGATCAAAGCTGTTTCTAAAAGCATTGAAAATAATTAAAATTCCATTGAAAACAGGTAAGTTTTACACCTATTTCTCCATTAGAATTAACACACACAGAGAAAATAAAATTGATCATGAATGAAAACAAAAATGCTGAAATGCATTACTCGACTACTTACTTGTTTAAATTGTTCCTCAAAAGTCCAGTGATGAGATGGTCCGTCTACATTGGTTGGGCTAATAGACGTAGCACTCATAGGAGAAATGTTGTTTCTGTATCTTTCCAAATAGGCTTGATTCAGAAGGTCCAGTCTAGGGTCACTTTCTGATTTAAGCAAGTGGTTGTCGCGAAGTGCTCTTAAATCATCATGATGTTTATTTATTCTCAAATCCTCTCCTCGATCTTCTGAATGTCTCCTCTCGCCATGCAACCTCATATCTTTGACACGGAGTTCTTCGTGTCGTCGACGTAATATAGCTTCTTCGTGGGCTCTTTTTAGTTCTCTTTCGATTTCAATTCTTTCTTCTCTTTCCTGTTTCTTCATCTTTTCATACAATTCTCTGTCAGCGGGGTCCAACTTTTCCCTGCTAACATCGTCCATATCTTTATCACTGCTACCATTTTCTGAACTCAATTCGGATTCGTTCAGGTCTCCATTTGTCTGCGGGAGGAAAATTTAACAATTTGAATTGATTTCCAAAATTTTCATGAAATTAATATTTCATTATTTTTATTAAAGGGTTCCTTTGATGATTTTTTTATCATAAATTAATGAAGCGAATCGATGAAATTTGCAACATTTTTTTTTAGAATTAAAAATAAATTGAATCAACTTCTAAACAAAACACAAAAAAGAAATTCCAATGCAGATACACTTGCACAATTATTATTATTAGATAAGCATCATAACAAAATCAAATCCACATTAATCTAATCAAATAAAATATGATATAATATAAGTTTTACAAAAGTCTTTGACAGACTATTGGCCAAGATTTAAGATTTTTAAAAGTAATAATGATTATAATTAAAATCTTTAAAAGATTTTTTTTTAATTCGAAATATAACACTTTAAAAAATAAAAATAAAAATTAAACTGAAATAATATTTAATTGTAAAATTTGTAATATTGAATTAAATTATTATAAAACTGCAGATAATCAACTTACCAAAGTTTCTCGTGGACTTATTTCCCCATTAGACATTTTCCGTTTTTAAACAAAGACTGTTAAATGCACAAAAGTTTATATTCTTCTGATATTCTTCAAGCAATTTAAGTGTATAACATATCAAATGAATAAAGATCCTTTCATCCGTACAAAATAATTTCATGTTACGACCTCTAACCTCTTTGTCTATTTTTATCCACCTATCCCATAGGCTTGACGGAGAATGCCGGAAATTGACGATTGGAAAGAAAATGGCAGCCTCCTTCAAGAAAACAGCAATCAAAACAATACCACGTGTTGGGGAAATAATAACCACAGATACATTATTTTGGAAAAGTTTAGAGGTTAGCTAATTAAGCAAGCGGTTTGTTGTACACAGAAATAGTGGCATTCTTCAAATAATACTACAAATGACAATTTTCGTTATTGAAACGAAAAGGGGGAGGGATGTAAACTGAAAACAGAAAAATTTATAAATTGACCTATCCAACTTGTCTGAAACGCAGACACTTGTCTCTGTAAATCACATACCTCTGTACCTTCACTTTACCTTTATTTGTAAGCAAATGCATATGGTCTGTCACAGGAGTTGTGACGATTTTGATAATTGAAGATGTTATCAATATTTTGAAAATATATGCATGGTACCTGCAGGATTCGAACACTAGATCTCAGGATCTTAAGGCAGTGCTCTTCCCCCTTTACTTTTCCTGCGCTGCATACCATCCATTTGCACTGCTCTCAGATCCATTACTGGACAACCACCAGTCTTTCACTTGGAAACCCTCAGGCTAGTTTCTTGCATTTCATAGTCATCCCTAAAGACCTGGTCTAACCTCGTGACCTGATCTACCTATCTGCCAGGTACTCCAGATACTTGTATGTGCCAGTAGTAGTTGTTCACAGTGCCCAATATTGTGAAAATACGTAGACAGTGCCAGTGGGATTGGAACCCTCAATGTCAAAAAAACATACTGCAAATAAATTTCAGGAACTAATGTCCAGTAATCGCATGGCAGTTTTAAAGAAACTTTGCACATATATCAAATATGTAAATACTTGTGTTTGTCCTCCTGGCTTGTAACTCTTATATTCTTTATGTTTTCTGTATGTTTCATAATTATAATTGTTAGTTGTACATGTATATGCATGTATTGTTTGCAAATTGTATATCCTACATGTAAATCCACATAATTAATATTACCAATATTTAACAAGTTCAGGGTCAAATTCAATACCAATACCAATAGTATATGTCGCATGTAGTTTCCGGTTGTAATAAGAAAAGGATGGGTTTAAACAGAAAGATTTAGTAAGCAGAGAAAACTGTGTACCTAATAATCAGCATGACTTTATCAGATGACAATACGAATACTAAAAATCTAGGCTAAAAATAAGGCATAGGTACTTTAATTCAGTCACTGACCCGCGGGCGTGTTCTAGTCTTTCTGAAGGTAGAAGATCTGGATACCTCATACCATGAATACAGACGCTTATGACAGGAAGTTTTTGTCTGTCTCTGTCATATGTCCATTGTCCCTGACCTCATTTTCATGGTTCAGGAACTGTTAAAAAGTTTTTTTGCCAATTGAATTTCTCTCTTATAAGTAAAAGGATAATTATATTTGGTACAGGAGATCCTTGCAAGGTCTTTATGTCTGTCAAACAGGGTTATTTTCTCGCTGTGTTGAAGACCAATTGGTGGCCGTCGGCTGTTTTCTGCTGTTTGGTCGAGTTGTTGTCTCTTTGACACATTCCCCATTTCCATTCTCAATTATATTAATTAACCTTGACTTCATTGAAATTTCATGGATGAGGCCATAAAAAAGAATAGGTTGGTTTGCCCTAACCCGACCGACCCATAAAAAAGCACCGAGTCGAAATCTTTTTTTATTCAAAATTCGAGTGTTTTGTATTTGAATTTTGTATTCAAATAAACTTCTTCTTCTTAGTATGAGCCTCCTTTAATTAGGAGACCCTCCAAATATATATGGAGTTTTTCCTTAACTTTAAAATTTTAAAGAATAAAACAAAAACGTTTTTCCAACATATGTACAGCACATATAAATATAAAACAATAAAAGTATCATGGCATATTTACAGGGACCTTTTTATTAATTATTTAATTTCATTTTCATAGCTTTTAATATTTGTCCAGAGCTTCTTTACATTTCTTACAATTGTTATATGACAGACTCTGTGTCGGTATATATATGTCACTTATGATAATCACTATTTTCATTTGTTTGTCATTTCCTCCATTTTGAGATATATGTATATATATACGTATATGCAATATATGTCTTGCTATTTGTTGTCCATAATTTTCAATCTTTCTATATGCATTTGGAATAACATATTTCTGGTTTTGTTTTCAATATTTTCCTGAAATTTTACACAGTTATCAAACAGCTCCTTATATTTTGAACAGTCTATAAGCAATTGTACTATCACAGTTTTGTTCGTGAAGGTGCAGTTCCATTTTGTTGGTGTGATTTTATCGGTGATCTCTTTTCTTATTTCAGGGAAATATTTTTCTCTCGTTACTAGTACTGAGTATTAACTCATTTAAAATGTTTGTCTGTATTCACAATGTAAACATTCAGAAAAAGTGTGAACATTGAGGTGGAATGCTGAAAAAAAAAACTGTTAACAGAAAGATCTGTATAGTACATATAGATCCTGGCATATATGTGTCTGACAATTTATACAAAACTCCATAATAGCCTTTCATTTTAAAAGTTGTTTACAAGGTAAAATAATTTTTTCCCCTATTTTTCTCTAAAAGTAAAAAAAAAAAAGAATTTCCCTACCTACCTACCCACACCTGAGACTGGTGGGTAGGGTTTGGGCAAACAGAAATATTTTTAAGTCTGGCCTGAGTGATCAAGGTTACATTGGTCAATGTTAAATGTTTGTGGTTTGGTCCGTTTTTCAGATACTATAAACATTAGGTCAACTATATATATATGGTATGAAATGTTTATAAGGTGTAAATTTTCATTTTGCAGAGGTAATGATAATCTGACCTTGACCTCATTTTCATGGTTCATCAGCCAATGTTTACATGAAGTGTAGGAATGATTTTGAGGTGTGCATATAAAAATAAGAAGATGTAGTATGATTACCAATGAGACAACTCTCCACAAGAGACCAAATGACACAGAAATTAACAACTATAGGTCACAGTACGGCTTTCAGCAATGAGCAAAGCCCATATCGCATAGTCAGCTATAAAAGGCCCCGAAATGACAAATGTAAAACAATTCAAACGAAAAAACTAACGGCCTAATTTATTTACAAAATAATGAACGAAAATTATGTTATGTCAGTCTTGCAGGGTTTGTCTGACTTTCACTTCATTTTCATGGTTCGTTGCCAACGTTAAGTTTTTGTGGTTATATCACATAAAAAAATTAATATTTAATTTGTGTACTCTAAAGTCGGGAAATGGATAGTAATGTACATATATATACGGTATATGTCATAATGTGTCAAATAATTTAAATAAATATTAGTATTTTCTCATTTTGAAAGTATCATACAGTATGTTATCAAGTCATATGTTTTTTTTATTTCAGTAAATGCTAAGCTATCGGTTAACAATATTTCACTGTTGAATTCATTGATAGGAATTCAATGTCTCTTTGAATTTATAAGGCTTGTTTTTCATCAAGTATTCAAGGTTCAATGTTAGAGGTGTAAGGTGATAATCAGGTTTGGTAGAAGTATTTGTAAACAAATGTATCCATACCAGTTTCAGATGACATTGACCTCATTTTTGTGCTCCAATAGTCAGGAAAAAATAGCTCCAATGTGTACATTTTCTGGGTTGCTGTTTGATCTTTTTATTCATGTGTCAGATAGGTCAGCACAATTTGGTACCTGGAAAATCAGACTAACATGATAAAACTTAAATGTTTTTTTTTTACAGGTGCCTGTAACAAAGAAGGAATATGGACCCATTACTCATATAGAATTTAGCCCTGTTGAACCACATAATTTTGCAGTTACAAATTCCACAAGGGTAAGTTGAATATAAACAGAAAATAATATTTTTAATTTTTTTCAATCACCATTATCATGATTATTGTTGTTTTCAGTCATCTATCTATGAAATTCTTTTTCCACTGAAAATTTTTGTATAAATATTTTAAATTTGAGATTGTAACATACTAGCATGCTCCAATTTTGTAATATTGACACAAAATTGGAAAAAAAGTATTTATGAAATTCCTTTTCTACTGAAAATATATATTTTAACTTTAGATTCTAACATACTTGCATGCTCCAATTTTATAATATAGACACAAAATTGGAAAAATAGTTGTTTAACCAGTTCAGCTTTATACAGTTAAATCTGCTTTAAATGTAACCTGTGGTAAGCAAAAACAGTATATTCAGGTCAACCTCTTTTCCTGCTATAGTGAGACCTATGCATTTTCAACCTCAACTCAAAGGTCAGCTCTCCTATAAGGTCAGTTTTCTCTGGTCCTGAAGTTGACCTTTATATACAGGTTTGACAGTTAGTGCATTCAATTCCTCTGTTGTATCATAGTTTTTGAAAGCAGTTGCACAGAAAGTTATATCTGTTTAATGAATAATTGTGGTTTATGTCTCTCAAGAATTATCAATCATGGAGAGAGACTTTAATATACAAATACACCCCTTTAATTAGACAATAATTCACAGATAAATATTAAAATTGGGCTATATTTTATCCTAAAGATTGTAATGCAAATGCATATGTTCTCCTTCCTTAACTATACTATTTTATAAATTCCAAATATCTAAGGAGGGAGGAATATAAAATTTTCGTTTCTAATTAATGCAAAACCTGTTTTAATCAGTGCCAGGATTTTTCTGCATGTGATATATGGTTGAACAACAGCACTTGGTGTACCCCAACGGAGAAGACATATCATCACATATACAATACATAATAACACAAGAATATTTTGATATGATTCTTGATTAACGGTATTATTTCCAGACATAAAGACAATCAGAAGAAATAGTTGTCATGCATCGAATCTGTGTCTTTAATTAAAATCATCTTCCTTACTTTTATTGTTACATATGCACGTGGCAATGCAGAATTTTTGCATATATTCATTGCTTTATTAAATTACAGTGAAAGAAGTGCATTAATTAATTAGTTGGTT